TTTTTGGTTTCCTAAATAATTACTATTAAATGGGATGCCTACAAGTTTTACAAAATTTAGAGATTATACGTAAAAATGTCTGAAGTTATTTACGACACTGTATAATCTTCATAATTTTCAGTGTGTTACATTAAGGAAGTAAGGAAAATACTCTATACCATTTGCGTTTCTGCCATACTTAGTTTAGTTATATCAGATCTTTATTTACATTTAAGCACTATTATAGTTGAACAAATGAAAATATTTCTTTCAAATGTCAAGTTTCATTGTTACAGTTATCTAATGTTCATCTATTATTGGCTGGTAATTCATGTTTCATTCTGTTCTTGAGCTTTTTAAAGGTACCTCAGATTTCTCTAAAAAGCTAACTTCAAGGGGTAATGATAATATCGTTTACACCGCAAATATGATTTTTTTTAGCTTATACCAAACACTACCATGCATAGTGATAGCATATTCCCAAGTACTCTTAAAATAATTTTCTGTCGTACTAAAGCCATTGCGAAAACTTCATTCATATTTTTGGCTATCTTGGGGAAAATATAAAAAGAAAGGTGAATACTTTGACTCTTTAGCTAGTTCCCAGTTCTCTACTTTAACAACAATTTTCAATAATACTGGGAGCCTCACAAACTGTAAAATACTCGATAATGGCAATTAGGTGCTCAAATAAGGCTATAACTCAACTTTAGCAGTTACTTATAAGGATCATTGAGTAATATATTGAATGCGACAGCCATTTTTTATCGGACCATCCCTACATACTAAGAACTATTGTGCTTGGTGGTAGCTTAATCTGTGTATGGTGATTGTTACCATTATCTGAGTTGCAACTAAAACAACAACGTTTAGGTTTTAACGACATCACTGTACCTGTAGATGGTGGTTCTTACTGTTACTTTGTTTTAAGTAAGATATCAACGTTAGGGTTTTCAGGACATCGCTGAACTTGTGTGAAGTGATTCTTATAGTTAAATAAACCATAAAAAATAAAGCAATGTTAAGGACTTAGCTCAACCTGTGTGTTGTGATTCTTATAATGTTGAGGTTCTAAATCTAAGGATATACCTGAATCTGTCCGTTGATTAACCGAGTTATTGCCAAGACATTATCCAAAACTAATCTGCATTAAATATTTACTCTAAAGACTTGTTTCACGATGAGATGAAAGTATTATTGATAGGAATACGTACCTGACTTGTCAAACTTGGTGGTTTTTCACTGCGGTTTTAGAAGGTTTGTCTAACATATATAGGGTGACTGATACTAATAAACATCTACATTTACATGCTCTTTTGTAATAAATGATATTGATATTATACGTGCAGTACTGAAGTATTTATGTGAGCCACGTGTTCTCTGAAGGAAGTTTCATTCACGAATAATCTGTGCTATACAAGCTGAAAACACCGGAAGTGGCGTGTTGAGGTGTTCAGTCATTAAATGTCACAATCATTTTCGTAGCTTCTATTCAATCTATTATACAGTAATGATTGGTCGATATAATCATAGCGACACGTTGATGAATTATTCCAAAAATATATATATATATATATATATCACTTGTACGTCGTAAAAATACGTCTTTCTCAACTGTGTGTTGAAAATGAATAATTTTTAATTATCTCTAAGCCTATATATTCATCGCTACTGCTTTGTGAGTTTGAAATGTAAGTATGGTGTTTTTATAAACCCATGTTTAATAAATGTAGCATTTTTCTCGAATACGATTTCATCCCTACTAAGTAACAGGACAAAGGATTGTAAAAGTATAAAAGGAAATAAAAAATAGGTGTCTCGTTTCCTGTACTATTAAGGCCCAAGGCCGGTTTTGTGTCATTTAATAAAGGAATTCAGGATGTCTCTCTAACAAGTTTCGATTTAGTAATGTATTTCTCGTTTATTCTGCTGTCAGAACCAAAATTAAAATATTGGAGCTGCTCAACATGTTATAACCGTACTCTATTCGTAATTAATACTTTATTTTTTAATAGGAAAAAATGTTAATCATAAGTAAGGCGTAACATCACACCAAAAGCAACTTCTTATGTGCTGTACATCTCGTTTTGGTCCTTAATGTATGTGATGAAAAATGTCTTATACATCAAGTTTTGGTCCTTGTATTCCTGATTAAAGAGAGTTTTTATACATCAGGTTTGTTATTGGTATTCCTGATTAAAGAGTGTATATACATCTAATATTGATACTTGTGTTCTTATGTTCCTGATGAAAGTGTTTTATACAACTGGTTTTGGTCTTTGTCTATTATCTTCTTCATTAAACAATATTTTTATACATCTGATACTGGTTCTTTTTTTCTTAAGTCACTGATCAAAGAGTGTTTTTATACAGATTTTGGTCCTTGTATTCTTTTGTTCTTCATTAAATTGTGTTTTCATATATCTGATCAAGGTCCTTGTGTTCTTATGCTACTGATTAAAGAGTTTTTTTTTTATACATGTGATTTCGATTCGTGTTTTTGTGTTCCTGATTAAAGAGTGTTTTGCTACATATGATTTTGGTCCTTCTTTTCTTATGTTTCTGATTAAAATGTGTTATAGTTCTGATTTTGATCCTTGTTTTCTTATGTTCCTGATTAAAGAGTGTTTATACATCTGATATCGATACTTGTGTTCTCATGTTCCCAGTTAAAGAGTGTTTATACATAAAGAGCCCTTTATACATATGTATATGTATATCATACATCTGATCAAGGTCCTTGTGTTCATATGTTACTGATTAAAGAGTTTTTTTCTATACATGTGATTTCGATCCATGTTTTTGTGTTCCTGATTAAAGAGTGTTTTTATACATATGATTTTGGTCCTTCTTTTCTTATGTTTCTGATTAAAATGTGTTATAGTTCTGATTTTGATCCTTGTTTTCTTATGTTCCTGATTAAAGAGTGTTTATACCTCTGATATCGATATTTGTGTTTTCATGTTCCCAGTTAAAGAGTGTTTATACATCTGATATTGATACTTGTGTTCTTATGTTCCTGATTAAAGAGTGTTTTTATACAAATGGTTTTGATACTTGTGTTCTGTATTGAAGAATGTTTTTATACATCTGATACTTGCATTCTAATGTTTCTGGTACAGAGTGTTTTTAAATATCTCATACTGCTGCTTGTGCTCTTATGTTCCTGATTAAATTTTTTTATACATCTTATTCTGGTTCTTGTTTTATGTTCTTTATTAAAGAATGTTTTATACATCAAGTTTTGGTATCTGTGTTCTTATCTTACGTATTAAAGAGTGTTTTTGTACATCTGGTTTTGGTCTTTATGTTCTTGATTTAGAGAGTTTTTATACATCTGGTTTTGGACTTTATTTTCTTATTTTCTTCATTAAAGAATGTTTTAATAATTCTGATATTGCTACTTGCATTCTAATGTTTCTGATTACAGAGTGTTTTTATACATCTCATACTACATCTTGTGCTCTTATGTTCCTGATGAAAGTGTTTCTGATTAAAATGTGTTATAGTTCTGATTTTGATCCTTGTTTTCTTATGTTCCTGATTAAAGAGTGTTTATACCTCTGATATTGATACTTGTGTTTTCATGTTCCAAGTTAAAGAGTGTTTATACATCTGATATTGATACTTGTGTTCTTATGTTCCTGATTAAAGAGTGTTTTTATACAAATGGTTTTGATACTTGTGTTCTGTATTGAAGAATGTTTTTTTACATCTGATACTTGCATTCTAATGTTTCTGATACAGAGTGTTTTTATATATCTCATACTGCTCCTTGTGCTCCTATGTTCCTGATTAAATTTTTTATTCTGGTTCTTGTTTTATGATCTTTATTAAAGAATGTTTTATACATCTGGTTTTGGTACCTGTGTTCTTATCTTCCAGATTAAAGAGTGTTTTTGTACATCTGATATTGTTTTTTTTCTTATATTCTGGATTAAAGAGTATTTTTATAGATCTCATTTTGGTCTTTGTGTTCTTATGTTCCTGATTCAGGAATATTTTTATACATCTTGTTTTGGTATTTGTGTTCTTATCTTCCAGATTAAAAAAGTTTATTTTTTACATCGGATATTGGTTTTGTTTCTTATATTCCTGATTAAAGAGTATTTTTATATATGCAATTTTGGTCCTAGTGTTCTTATGTTCCTGGTTAAAGAGTGTTTATGCATCTGATCAAGGTTTTTGTGTTCTTATGTTACTGATTAAAAGAGTTTTTTTTATACGTGTGATTTTGATCCCTATTTTTGTGTTGCTGATTAAAGAGTGTTTTTATACACCTGATTCTGGTCCATGTGTTCTTATGCTCCTGATTAAGGCATATTTTTATACACTTGGTTTTGGTATTTGTCTTCTTATCTTCCGGATTAAAAAGTGTATTTATACATCAGATATTGTTTTTTTTCTTATATTCCTGATTAAAGAGTATTTTTATACAGGTGATTTTGGGCCTTGTGTTCTTATGTTCCTGCATAAAGAGTGTTTTATACAAATTGTTTTGGTACTTGTGTTCTGGATTAAAGAATGGTTTTATACATGTGATATTGGTTCTTTCTTTTCTTAAGTCACTGATTAAAGAGTGATCTTATACATCTGGTTTTGGTCTTTATGTTCTTGATTTAGAGAGTTTTTATACATCTGGTTTTAGTCTTTATGTTCTTGATTAAAGAGTGTTTTTATACATCTGGGCTTGGTCTTTGTTTTCTTATCTTCTTCATTAAAGAATGTTTTTATAGATGTGATATTGGTTCTTATTTTCTTAAATCACTGATTAAAGAGGATTTTTATACATCTGGTTTTGGTATTTGTGTTCTTATCTTCCAGATTAAAGAGTGTTTTTGTATATCTATTATTATTTTTGTTTTTCTTATATTCCTGATTAAAGAGTATTTTTATACAAGTGATTTTGGTCCTTGTGTTCTTATATTCATGATTAAAGGGTGGTTTATAAACCAATTGGGTTCTTGTGTTCTGGATTGAAGAATGGCTTTATATATGTGATATTAGTTCTTTTTTTTAATTCACTGATTTAAGATTGTTCTTATATATTTGGTTTTGGTCTTTACGTTCTTCATTTAGAGAGTTTTTATACATCTGGTTTTAGTCTTTATGTTCTTGATTAAAGAGTGTTTTTATACATCTGGTTTTGGTCTTTGTTTTCTTATCTTCTTCATTAAAGAGTGTTATTATACATCTGATATTGGTACTTGTGTTCTTATGTTCATCATTAAAGAGTGTTTTTATACATCTCATTTTGTCCTTGTATCTTTATGTCCCTGATTAAGGAATATTTTTATACATCTGGTCTTAGTATTTGGGTTCTTATCTTCTGTATTAAAGAGTGTTTTTATACATCTGATATTGGTTTTGTTTTTTATATTCCTGATTAAAGAGGATTTTTATTCAGATTTTGGTCCTTGTATTCTTTTGTGCTTCATTAAAGTGTGTTTTGCTAAATCTGATCTTTGTCTTTGTGTTCTTGTGTTCCTGATTAAAGAGTGTTTTTATATATCTGATTTTGGTCCTTGTTTTCTTATGTTTCTGATTATAAAGTGTTATAGTTCTCATTTTGGACCTTGTTTTCTTATGTTCCTGATTAAAGAGTGTTTTTATATATCTCATTTTGGTCCTTTTGTTGTTATGTTCCTGATTAAGGAATATTTTTGTTCATCTGGATTAGGTATTTGTCTTCTTATCTTCTGGACTATACAGTGTTTTTATACATCTGATATTGTTTTTTTTTCTTATATTCCTGACAAAAGAGGATTTTTACACAGGTGATTTTGTTCCTTGGGTTCTTATGTTCCTGATTAAAGAGTGTTTATACATCTGATATTGTTTTTTTTATTATATTCATGATTAAAGAGTATTTTTATACAGGTGGTTTTGGGCTGTGTGTTCTTATGTTCCTGATTAAAGAGTGTTTATACATCTGATATTGATACTTGTGTTCTTATGTTCCTGATTAAAGAGTGTTTATACATCTGATATTGATACTTGTGTCCTTATGTTCCTGATTAAAGAGTATTTTGATACATCTGATATCGGTTTTTTTCTTATATTCCTGACTAAAGAGGATTTTTATACAGGTGATTTTTGTCCTTGTGTTCTTATGTTCCTGATTAAGGAATATTTTTATTCATCTGGTTTT